GGGGTAAACGGGAGAAGAGGAGGAGAGCACTTGAGGGAGGAATGAAGGAGATGGACGATGGGGGGAATGAAAAGGACGGGGGTTGGTGAACAACTGGAGAGCAGGGCATGCGGGTTCGTCATGCTGGTGATCCATATCAAAAGGCTATGGCTTTGGGAACGTTATGGCAGCAGTGGTGCTGGACCGGCGGCGGTGGCAATGATGAAAGCGACACAGGGGCATACCTTGATGCGCACCCATGAGTCCATGATGTGCAAGCAAGGATATAGAGAGCGACACAGCACTGACAGGTATGTGAGGAGAGAGAGGCAGCTTAGAGTGGATGGCAGGCTGCCAGAAATCGAAGTAGAAGATATGTCTCTGTTTCGGGGTTGGAAGGATGAAAATGGGAGGGTGGAGCAGGAGCCGGAGTATGTTCAGGGTTGCTAAGGAGAAGATGGTTCAAAGAACTACCCACCCATTATCCATCCATCACTCGGAAAGGAAGTACAGTTGGAAGTTGGAACGCACAATTGTGTTTTGAGTCGACTCAAAATACGAGGGGGAACGGGTTATCCGGTGATTACAGGTAGGAGAGTGCAGGGCAGGGAGTAAACGGGAGCAGGGGAGTAATTGAGGGAGGAATGAAGGAGGAGGAAGATGGGGGGAAGGAAGGGTCCCCTCTCCTAGAGCAGGGCACGGGACTTGGAAATGCTTATGATCCATATACAAAGGCTATGGCTTTGGGAATGTTCACATCGCCCTGGCAAACGTTAAAAATCGATGTATATACCCGGTGACGATAGGGAAGCAGTGGTGCCGGACCAGTGGTGATGTCTATGACGAATGCAACACAGGGCGTGTTCGATGCGTACCCATGATGGGCAGCGATACAATGAGTTTCCCAGCACTGACAGGTATGAGAGGAGAGAGAGGCTGCTGAGAGTGGATGGCAGGCTGCCAGAAATCGAAGTAGACGATATGTCTCTGTGTCGGGGTTGGAAGGATGAAAAGTGACGGCAGAGCAGGCACAGGACTACTGTTGAGGGGTGAGAAGGAGAAGACGGTTCAAAGGTATTCCACCCACCCATAATGCATCCATCACTCGGTAACTAGTAACAGCTGGAAGTTGGAACGAGCAACAGATGGGGGGCGGGATTACAGGTAGGAGAGTGCAGGGAGGGCAGCGAGGGCCGAGGGCCTTAGTTGCACCATGGGCATATGGTGGTATATACGCCAGCGTATACGCAATACGCTCGGATTGGGCCTTTGTATACGCTACGTATACGCTAGTCCGGGCAGGCAAAAACAATTCCGGACAGGAGCAAAAACACCGCAGAAAGGGGGAGGGGAAGAGGGGGATGTGGAGAAAACGGTTCCACTGCAACAACAACCAGAAAACATAGAATTAGGCATAATAAATAAGCATCGTGCCAAGCCTTCGGCGGCGTCACGTGGACTCAAGGGCGTTGCCATGGCTTAGCCTTATAAACTAAGCGATTTCGAGCTTACTAAGTTCGAAAACGACCTAAAAGCCTTGGGGAATGGGGCTGGTAAAGGTAAGCTACGCTAAGCGCACTAAACTAGGTTTAGCGCATACATCTTCGAGAGAGGAAGAGAGCAGTTTCGAGGGGTGGTTGGGTTGGGTAGAGACATTAGGGTGCAGTGTGGTGGAGGGGGGCGAAATCGTTGGAAGTTGGAGTTGCTGCAAAATTTGGTGTGTCGCAAGTTCGCGACACCCTGTTTGGTTTCGGGCTGCCCTACAAATTTCGGTCGAGCGTATGGCGTATATATGCTCGTATAGCGTATAGCGTAAATGCGCTATACGCTCACCAATTTTTGCGTACAGTGCAACTAGGCCGAGGGCAGAGCGCCTGAGATAGACGTATGCGATAGGCCTCTGTGATGTAAGATGGATGGAATAAAGGGAGGGTGTGCATCGTATACGCATCACATAGGCGGCAAGAACGAGAGAGAAGTGACAAGAAGAGACTGCTTTGATAATGAGAACAGATTGCTGTGGTAGATCAGTGATATGTGACAGGTGTGCGAAGAGGGCAGGACAAGAGCTTAGGCTAAGGTAGGGGGGATTGAGGAGACAGGGAAGATATTTAACTTGAAAATTGGACATGACAAGCAAAGTTTGCAGCATGCCAGGGAGGGACTGCAGTGACAGGTTCACAGGGTGTAGTGGCAGGTGTGCAGGGTATAGTGGCAGGTGTGCAGGTTATAGTGGCAGGTGTGCAGGGTATAGTGGCAGGTGTGCAGGATATAGTGGCTGGCAGGTGTGCAGAGTATAGTGGTAGGTGTGCAGGGTATAGTGGCAGGTGTGCAGGGTATAGAGGTAGGTAGGCTTGAGCAAAACCGGGTAAATACCCGACCCGACCCGGTTTTGCCATACCCGACCTTGGGTCGAGTAATTTCGGGTCGGGTCCGCGTCGGGTATTACATCCCCGACCAATACCCGGACCTAGACATGGGCTTAACACCGAGCCGAGCCGAGCCGGCTTCGAGCCGGGCTTCAGTCGAGCCGAGCCGAGCCGAGCCGAGCCGAGCCGGCTTCGGCTCGCTTCAGCCAAAGGCCGGCTCGGCTCGGTGAAGCCGGCTTCGAGCCGAAACCGAGCCTTAAAACGAGCCGGCTCGGCTCGGCTCGTTTTTTAAGCGGTGAAGCCAGGGGGGGCGGCTAAACTAGGGATTATGAAACGAGACACTCCATTGAGAGTCGCGTTTCGTAGGGGTCGAATTTTGACCAATCAACTCCCTCCCTTTCACCACACTGAACTCCCCCCGTCTACAAACTTCAAAATTTCCAGCCAGCTCCCTCCCTTTCACCGCACTGAACTCCCCCCCGTCTACAAACTTTTAAAAAGTCCATCCAACTCCCTCCCTTCCACCGCACTGAACTCCCCCCGTCGACAAGCTTCAAAATTTCCAGCCAACTCCTTCCCTATCACCGCACTGAACTTCCCCTCGTCTACAAATTCCAACCTTTCCTCACAATTGCTCCTCTCTCCCCCTCGACTCCCTTCCCCAATTGCGACAAGACCTAAAACAGTGTTGCGTAACTCATGCAATTTCCGCCACCTAGCTAAGCGCACTAGCACCTCCTAGTCTAAAACCCCCTTTTTCTTCTAAGTTACATGGCTGGGCTTCGCGCCGCGCTGAAGCTAAGCTGGATCGATCCGGGCTTCAGCTCAGCTCGGCTCGGCTCGGCTTCGGCTTCAGCTTCAGTGAAGCCGCGAGCCGAACCGAGCCGGCTTCGGCTCGCTCACAAAAAAAAAGGGCTCGGCTCGGCTTGAAGCTGAGCCGAGCCGGCTTGGTGTTAAGCCCATGTCTACCCGGAACCGGTTGTAGCAGCTAGACATGGGCAAAAAAAATCGCATCGCATCGCATTTAATCGCGTTTTTGCGATTGCGATTTTTTTTTTTCATCATCGCGCGATGCGATGAATTAATATCGCGTGATTTGATTTTAATCGCATTTTAATCGGGCTAAAAAACGCGATTTAAATGTGATATACGAAATTTTTTAAATCGCGCGCGATGTTGCACTGAAACCCACTCTGAAAACCACTACGAAACCACACTAATTATTTGCACTCTAGCTTACGACTGCCCGTGATTCCATTTCCTGGCAGCCATGGTTTTTTTCTGATTTTTTGGGGTGTTTTTTTATTGTGTTTTAAAACGCGATGCGATTTAAAATCGCATCGCACGATTGAATTAAATACCGCATGCGGTTTTAATATTCATCGCGCGCAAAACGCGATGTGCGATTTATTTTTTCCAGAAACTAAATCGCATCGCACTTAATTAAATCGCCCCCCAATGCGATGCGATTTAAATCGCAATCGCATTTTGCCCATGTCTAGTAGCAGCCCCTAATCCAATATGACCTTCTCCAAAGTCTCTGCAATCAGGGCCCCAGTGTGCGACCCCTGAATCTCCTCAAACTCCAGCAGGGCCAGGCGCAGCTGGAAATCCGCCGTGATCCAGTGCGCCGTGACAGCAAGGAAGGCGTCCTGCACCAGGCTGGACCAGATGTCCGTAGTGAGGGACACCTTCCCCGCCGCCCCATCACCAACGATCTCCTACAGCTGGCGCTCACGCGCGGCGTCGCCGTGCACGAGCATGTTGCGCGCAAGCCGGAATCGGGAGCCAAGCTGATCTGTGGCGTGTGGATTGAGGAGGCGGGTGTAGCGGCGAAACTGTGGACAGAGGGGGGGGAGGAGGGGGGATTTGATGGGTGGACGCGTGCAGAAATGCCGCTCTATGTGGCTGGGGGGTGGGTTAAAAACGACGCGTGGGAGATCAAACATGAGCGGAGGTGAACGTACCACAGCATCAGGAGCTTCACTCTGGCACTTCTTACCGAGGGGCGGTCGAAAGGAAGGTCCGCGTCTGCGAACAGCTCGACAAGAGCGTGGCGCAGACGCTCCTTCGTGACGCGACGGCCGAAGAACTGAGGGATTTGCCGTTGGCCCGCCTCGACACCCCCACCCAGACTGCCCGTGCCCGCACCAGGGATGTCGGGGTAGGAGTCAGCGTGCTCCCACGGGTCTGGTCCGCTAGGCACCCCCGGGTACCCCTTGGCCGGAAACTCCAACCCCGGATTCTTGTTGGCATTAGTGAAGAGGCGGTACCAGATCTGGAGGTGAGGCATGTGGAATGTGCGCATGCGCTTCCACGCCGAACCAGTGCTGCTCTCACCCCAACCGATCGGCGTCTCGCACACCTTGCAACATCGCGCCCCGTCCCCCCCCTCAGGCTCAAAGAACATCCCCTAGGGACACTACCCGACTGTCACCCGAGAGCTATCGCCCACTCGCGACTGCTTATGCCGTCCACACGTGCCCCCTACCCCCCACCTGGGGTGACAACCCGCCCCGGCGTCGGCGTAGCACCGTCCGCATCACCCCCCTCCCCCTCGCCCTCAGCATCCCCAAAGCGCGCCGCATCCCCACCGCCCTCCACCTCCCCCGCACCACTAATGCCCCCACTGCCACCCATCGTCCCTGCCCTCCCCCGACCACGTCCGCGACCTCTTCCCCTCCCCCTCCCCCTTCCCCTGCCCCTCCCCCTCCCCCTCCCCCTCCCCCTCCTCTTGGCGGGACCATCTCCTTACACCTCATCATTTTTCTCCGCATTGGGCTGCCACTCCTGGACACCCTCGCCTCCTTCCCCCCCTCCACCACCCCCCCCACCGTTCCCCCCCCCCATGGCCGGCCCCACACCCCCCCCCTCATGCATCGCCCTCCTCCACCTCTTCCACAAAGTCATCCTCCTCATCCCCCTCATCCGCACGGACACCGCTCGCCAAGGCAAAGCTTTGGCGGAAGCTAGGGAGAGGGAGGCCAGTGAGAGATGCTCCAGGAAGGGCACCGCTCTGGAGCCCGCCACCCTCCTCTCTATCGCCCCCGAAAGAGACGGGACGCCCGTCACAATCATAAAGCTGCATGACGGGACAGCTATAAACCCTAAACTAGGCGCTTGAATGGGGAATCCGAGGGGGCGATTCGCCCTTGGAACCCTAGATCTCCTAAACCCTAGAACCATAGGGGAAACAATCCCACCGTACCCTTAATCCGCCCTATTCTCGGAAAAAAAACGCATTAGGGTGCCGGTAGTTGTGTGAGTAAAGCGGGTGCTGCTGGGAGGTGGCGGGAGTAGGATAGTGCCTAGACGAAACCAGATCTGGGGAGTTGGGAAAAAAAATTCGACCATATGGTCGAAATTTCCAACCCTCCCCGATTTTGATCGGGCTACTATCGATGGGTAGCAGCGCGACACTCGACCCGACTTCGGGTTTTTACCCGAGCTCGGGTATTCAATACCCGACCCGATGGGTTCCCGTTACCCGCGTCGTCGGGTATCATTTCGGGTAGCGGGTATTGAATACCCGCTCGGGTAACCCGGACCCGACCCGCCCTAAAAGCGGATCCGGGTCCGGGTGCCCGACCCGGGCGGGTAGAATGCTCAAGCCTAGTGGTAGGTGAGCACGGTAAAGTGGCAGGTGTGCAAGGGTATAGTGGCAGGAGTGCAGGGTATAGTGGCAGGTGTGCAAGGTATAGTGGTAGGTATGCAGGGTATAGTGGCAGGTGTGCAAGGTATAATGGTAGGTATGCAGGGTATAGTGACAGGCGTGGGATGACAACGCTCACTCACAGCATGCGCAGGGAGGAGGGCAAGGAGAGGTGCGAGATAGAGCCGGAAAGCAGATAGGTGTCTGTCAGCACACTGACGGGATGGGGTTGGGGAATGGAGGAGGGGAGGGGGCAAAGGGGCGCGGAGTGCTAAGTTTGTAACAAAATGGTGGCAAGGAAAGGATTGGGGAAAGAGAATGCTGACTGAAAGGCAGCAATGGGTAGAAGAAGGATCGAGGGGCAGGTTAGATCTAATGTAACACAAGGAGGGGGGTCAGCAAGGTGAAAGAGAGAGGGTGAGTGAGTGAACAAAAGTGATCGAAGAGATTAGGCAGGGGGGGAGCTGAGAGAGAAATTATCAGAGGAGCAGAGTAACGGGCAGGGAAGGAAGGAACAGAGAAGAGGAAAGGCGGAGTTACAGGCGTCTGAGCTGTGGCATGCGGGAGAAGATATTGAGCGGCATGGTTGCATTGAGATCGCCATAATAAAACAGGGACAGTTCACTGTTGTGGGGAGAGAGATGAACGTTGATGAGGAAACACTGTGAAACGGGCAAGGGCCAAGCTAAAGCCGGCTTGACTTCAGCCGACCTCAGCTAGGCATAAGCATAGGCCCGGTCCGGCCTAGCCCAGCACGATTCTAGTCAGCCCGGCTTATGGTCGGGCTGGGCCGGGCCGGGCCAAGGTCCGGCCGACCTTCGGAACTCCCCAGCCCCTGCACGGGTTTAGGGTCGGCCCGGCCTTGGCCTGGGGGCGGGCCGGGCCGGCCCGGCCATGTTCGGGCCACCTAAGGTGGGGCCGAGTTTCAGGGATGGGCGGCCTGTGCCTGGGTTTTTCCAGGTGGGGCAAGGTCTTTTGCTGATGCGTAATCTCAGCTTGTCTGATGGACCAGTGGAGCGGACCAAGTGCCCGGCTACGTGACCGAATATGCTTTTGGGGGCAAGCATTTTGTCTTCGAACGCTCAATACACTTGCGAAAACGCTGTAGGCTGGGCAGTTTTAGCGACACTTTGCGATTTGGCGAATCCAACTTGATTTTTTGGCAGATCGCGGAGTCAACATTTGGGCTCTAAAGCACATTCCAACCAACCCCGATTTCCCCCCCAATCACCAATCTCTCTATATCCACAAACCCCAACCTTTCCCCTCTGTGTCCTCTACTCAGGGAGCATTCCGAATTCGTTTCAAGCTTTGGGTTAGACATGGAAGACACAAAGCCGGAAGTCCCGAGACTTTGGGTCCATGACAGACAAATGGCCCAGGATCAGAAAGACATGAACGGGATTCACAAACGCGGGTTTGGAAAACACAGTCAGGAAATGCGAATTGGCTGCGCATTTTGGCGAAATTGTGTCTGGTTTGCACTTGCACCCATTGCTGAGTACTGCAGCACATGCATCGTTGTAGACTAAAACTCAAAGTTGGGGCTGGGAAGACCCAAAGTTCGGGCTGGGAAGACATGACATGAATTAGGAATGCACCGTCAAGAGAGGAATCACGTAATCCCTCTCCTGCGTAATCTGCCACACCCATATTTTAGGTCGCGCCAGTGTAGATCACTATCCATTCCTCCTGAACTTACCTTGAGCTTAGCTTAGTACTTTATATTTTCTAGTGCAGCAAATCACTGACCCCCCCAGGCTATCCCAACATGTACTTTTCTTCCCTGCCCGTACTTTTTTTAACCTGCCCAGCATAACATATTCCAAGCATATGCGCCAGCCCTCTCCGAGCGTTTAGCGTTCAAAAATCTAGCGTTTAAAACGCTAAACGTGTATTCAGTCACTCACTTAGGTGCCGGGCTTAGGGCTCGTCCAAAACTGGCGAGCCGGGGGGGGGGGGGGGGGGGGGGGCTGCTCGACTTGAGCCCTGGCTCGCCAGGAAAGGTCGGGCCTTCGTTGTAGTCACAGCCCCGCAAGCCCCATGCACAACCCCACACTCTCTGAATGAAGCATTCAGGCACTCTCCGCCCACACACGAACGTATAACAGCCATACTATAGCAGCGGGAGGGAATCACCCTTGTACTTCGGAATCTAGGTGCTTTAGGGTTCTGGGTTCTGGGTTAACACTACATTTCCACCGCCTGACAAAACCCTGAAGCCAGTTTGCACAATGTCACCGCCCTCCCAACGATGCGTATGCGAGGTGCGGGGTGCCGACGGAGTGACATTAGGGAGCTTTGCTGGATCCGAGGTCTAAGAAGCACATGTAGAGATGGATTATCCAAGCTAGAACTTGGCGTTTGGTAAAAGAAGTGCCTACCTACCTACTGAAGTACCTACCTATTGCTGTCTAAGGAGGGCTCCCCAGCTAAAAACAGAATATCAGAAATAGGGTTGTGTGCAACCAGGAGGCTAGTGTAGAGGATGTACAGGCGCTAAGAGAAACTAAAAACGGAAGGCAAATGAAAAAATTCAGATCTGCTGGTCGACATTTCAGCATTCTACAGCCAGTGTGACCCCGGTCGCACTGGTCTTCGACGAGCCGGCGAGCCGACTTGTTGAGCCGGCTCGGACAGGCGTGAATTCAGCCGCCCGGCCAGACCTGGCGGCTCGGCCATTCGCATGTGCGCAAGTGCTGTCCTTAGCACATGCCTCCTAATCTGCAAGGTCTGACACTCCAGCGAGGCCTCTTCCTTGCTCCCCCTTGCTTTCCCCCTCTTCCTCCCTCTTGCTTGTCCCGTTCCTCTTCCCTCTTGCGTGATTTCCCCAGACTGGAGCAACGTACATGGATACAATGAAGCCCTGCTTGTTGCATTCAACGTAGTCCCACTCATCGCAACGGCGTGAGCTGTTGGAGTTGGTGGGCCAGAGGTGCCAGGCGGCGTTGAGGTCCAGCAGCGCACGCACTGGCAGCACGCAGCACGCTCTCCCTCGCACTCACACGGCCAGGCAAGGCCAGGCCAGCCAGCACACACGACCAGGCCAGCACACACGGCCAGGGTAGCACACAGCACAGTGCAAGCAAAACGAGAATGAAGTAGAGGAAATGATAAGCTGGTTGAAGCAGATATGGGAAGCGAGTGAGTCGGGTAGGGACAGCTCACAGCAGGACACGCTCCTGCGGGAGGGGCTGGGAGAAACGGGTGAAAGGATGGGAGGGACGCGAGATATGGGACGGCGGGTTAGCGCCGGGTGGAGACGGGGCAAGCAAGGAAATGGGCAAGATGGAGGACATGTGCGACGGGAATGGGGAAAATGGGGAAACCGGGTGTTGTGGGGGATATGGCGTATATGGGGCGAATGGGGAATGATGAGATGGGGGGAGGGGGAGGGGGGGGAGGAGGAGGAAGGGGGGTGCTGAAATGGGGAAAATGTGTGAGCTAGCGGAAATGGGAGTGAATTGGGAACTGGGGGAAATCGAAGAATGGGGAAACGGGCGGAGATGGGGGCCTGATGACCAATGCTGGAGCTGAGAGACCCAACCGCCGCGGGGAGTTCGACCCAGCGCCGGCGTCAGCGGTTTTCATCTGGAGTAGAGCGAAACGGCGCGGTCGCAAACAACCTGAGCCATACGCTGGCTGTCAGCGAGGGTCGGCACGCCGGCGGCGCGGCGGGCGGCGCGGGGATGGCGCTGACCGGGGCTTCCCTCGCCCAGTGCCGCCGCCGCCCTGTTGCCTACTCCGCCGGGAGTCGCGGCGTTGGAGGCGAGGCGAGAAGCAGCGGAAAGGTCGGAGTGCGGCGCTAAGAGGAGGAGGGCGAGCAGAAGGGCGAGGAGAAAGCAGGACGCACGGCGACAGTCCGAGCGCGAGGTGCGGGAGAAACTGCGAGGCGAGAGCAACGTCATGATGGCTTTCGAGCTGAGGGAACTAGTAGTAGGGAGCTAGCAGTGGCGAGTATTCCGCTGGTGAAAGCACCACCACTTGCACTACCTGAGAACTGGAACCACAGCACAACCAGAGAGGACCCAATTTAGGGCGTGTGAGATGAAGCTCGATTCTACCCGAACATCCGAACTACCCAAGAGTTACACGCTTTGCGAATGTCGTAAGAGCCGTCCATGACATCGGTGACATTGGGGCCTAAGGGTATGTGACATCGGTGTCTGTTCGAAACGGGGGCTGTTCAAAGGGTCACCACCCTGCACCATACTGTATCTGACTGGAACATGCAGTATTGTTTTCAACCTGTACGTAAAGTCCGTTCGAACGGCACTTTTGCAGCCGTGGCACACGCCCTAAAATTAGCAAATATTCCTCGGGTTACGGCTTCAGATGTTCAGGGCAGGCCTCTCGATGTCCAGGTAATTACCCTGCTTACTCAAGGAAAACAAGGTGATGTTTGTGTACTACCCTGATTTCTACGCATCCAGATTTGAAGTACACGTCCACTAGCAGACTAGGCAACAACATTCCACGTCCGATTTCCGAGTAGTGGAATGTATCGCCCTGTAACATCCGTCTGTAAGGCCTGGTTACCCAGCTAGAAACCCCTCTTCTCCGTTGAGGAAGGGATTCGGGCAAAACCACTCCCGAAATCCCAAGTGGCCCGTTTGGGTTTTCGGCAAGCGCGCCACACCCTGATTGGATGTTGAAGCTTCCCAAACCAAGCCTCTCTAACTCAAGCTCGTTTCCCCCAACCAAGCCACTCTGAACCAAACTCATTTCCCCCAACCAGGCCTCTCTGAATCATTTCCCCCAACCGAGCCTCTCTCACCCAAACTCGTTCCCCCCAATGAAGCCTCCCTCAGCCAAACTCGTTCCCCCAACCAAGCCTCCCTCAGCCAAGCTCGTTTCCCAAAAGAGGTTTGGTTGGGGAAAACGTGTTTTCCTGGACCACGCCTCTGTGCTTCATATGCATTTGTACCTGTGGGTAGTGTTAAATTATCTATGTTAGTATGTAATTGTAGGCTTGGTAGTGGTTACTGAACATTCTTGTAGAGGGTACAACACCCCTCCTTGTATCCCTCTCTCTTCTTTTCTAGCCCTCTTTTCTCTCACCAACTTTCCTACCCTAAAACCTCACGTCATTTCCATGGCTCCTCCTCCTACCTAGATCCTAGTTTTAAGACATGGTAACAGAGCCGGTTCCCTTCCCGGGCCTGCTCCCCTCGCTTCCGCCGCGCACTCCCTCCCCGTCATGCCGCGCTGGCCCTGTTGCGCCGCGCTGGCCCCGTCGCGCCGCGCTGGCCCCGTCAATCCACGCTGGCCCCGTCGCGTCGCACGGGCCACGCTTCCGCCGCGTACCCGTCCTTACTTCGCCGCCGTTGCAGCCTTCCGTTTGCCTGCCGCCGTGGCACATTTTCCGAGATGCCGCGGCGGCCTCTGTGTGCTGTCGTCTCAGCGTCGACGAGCAGTCGCGGCCCCGACGCCACGCTGTGGTGGCGTCGTAGTGGTGCCGTGGCTGTGTCGTCGGCCTATTGCCATCGCGCACCACCTACGTCGCTGCTGGATTTGCAGCCTGCCCGCTCGCCAGTAAGCGCCGCGCCAGCAATGGCGCCGCGCTGAAGATCCGACGCCCCGCCCCTTCCCCCTTTCCTCTGTCCCCTCCTCTTCACCACCGCCGCCGCCTGACTCCCGCCGGTCGTCCCCCTGTCCCAGAGTTTGGACACGCCGCCGGAAGGGCGGGGGCCACTGCCGTTACCGCCGTCGTAAGCCGAAGCCGTCGCCGTCGCCGCTGTCGTCGCCGCAGGCCTGTTGCCGCCGCACGCCCGTCGTCGCCGTCGTTGTCGCCGCTGCTGGGACGGCCACCGTCGCCATCTCCAGGGCCTTGGGGTTCGCCCTGCTTGAGTCGTCGTGGCTGATGGGAATGGGGGTGCTAGGTTAGGGGGTGTGGGGGTGTGTGGGTCCTTCTATTACCGAGCCTAGGGGGTGTGTTAAATTATATATGTTAGTATATAATTGTAGGCTTGGTAGTGGTTACTGAACATTACTGTAGAGGGTACAACACCCCTCCTTGTATCCCTCTCTCTTCTTTTCTAGCCCTCTTTTCCCTCACCAACTTTCCTACCCTAAAACCTCACGCCATTTCCATGGCTCCTCCTCCTACCTGGATCCTAGTTTTAAGACAGGTAGGGCGTATTTTTTGTAGTCGGCAATAAATTGGTGAAGTGGCGGTTGCGGGAAATTTGCTGCCGCGGACTGTCCACGAAACTTTTCATACTTTCGTGGACATGCCCTACTTTCATGGACACCACATCGAGTTTTCGCTTCTCCCGTGGACTCCGTCAATACTTTCGTGGACTCCAAGACTTCCATGGACACACGCGAAATTGGAAAAACAAAAAACAAAAAAAAAAAAAAAAAAAACATACAGAACCGAACAGATACTGACGGAAGGAAAAAACAAAATTGTCGCGTAATCAAGTCTCTCGCAAATGGTTGCAAGCTACAGTAATTTCAAGCCACTAAGTCCGCCAGCTGTTTTGCGTATTTAAAGAAACTCTGAAGCGATCCTCAAAATTCATCTAAATGAATGTGAGAAAGTGGTTTTAGTTGAACGACAAGTGTAGCAGATCGAGAAGGCGAAATCTCGCAACAAAAGATTCACGTTGTAGAATAAAGATAGATATTATGGTTACAAGGTCAATAGAGCTTAGTAAAAATCATAGTAGTCCCAGGATAACGGTTTGGAATTTCTGCCTACCAAGAATCGAGAATACCATAAATTCTGTCATTTCCAAATATTTCAACTAATATTTGGCTTGCATTTTCAATGAAAATGTGAAATCTCTTAATACCAATATCGTTTGGTAAAAATGGTTGTATAAATAGAAGGTTTTAGGTCTTTATATTATTATTATTAAAATATGGGTTCATAGTAAAATAATAATAGATGAGAAAATAACACAAGAATTTTAAATTCACATTTTTGGGAATATGTGTTTTATGTTTGAACAAGAAACATACTAATGCAAATAAAAACAAGTGATTCTGAAAAATATCTTTCACTGGTACTATATTTTTGTTCACAGAATTCCTAATACTAAAATAATGTATTATGTATTAGGAAGAGAGGGTGACTAGAATGGGAAGATACAGGGCAATATAGACTAGTGTGTTGTACACTCTAAGGCACAAACCTGTAAAGTCTACAGTAACAACATAAGTTATGCTTGACACACCCCCTAGACTATATAGGGGCAGTGCCTAACAAGGGAAGAAGCAGCTCAGGGCGGTACTACTAGTCCAGCCTCTAAGACAAGGGTCTAAAGACCAGTCAAAAAGGAGTACAGACAAGGCAAGAGCAAGACCAGGGCGGCACTACTAGTCCAGCCACTGGGAGAGGCCACAAGGCCAATCAGGGTAAAATCTATATAAAGGATAGTACAAAGTCAAGGCCCTACCAAGTGAGAGACTACAGGAACGAGGCCTAGCTGTAAATAGTGCCGCTAATGATCTTTAGGCGCAAGCGCCTTAGTAAAGATACCAGTTGTGTTGGCACCTGAGGCCAAGTGTACTACGCAAGCCTGGCGACGTTGCTGTAGCTCACGTAGGAGGAAGTACCGCAGCTGGATGTGCTTCTCTCTGCCCTCGAGTCGAGGCTCCTGATACAGGAGAATCATGGCCCTGTTGTCAGCGTACAGGACCGGGGCAGAGCTAGGCCGCTCACCTAAGTCAGTGAGCAAGAAGGTCAGCCAGCGGAGCTCCTGTGCCGCCATGGCACCGGCGTAGATCTCGGCCTCACAGCTGGACTGGGCAACAGACGAGGAGCGGGTAGCTCTACACGAGACGACACCTGAACCAAGGTTAAAGCAGTAGCCCTGCGAGGACCTGAGGTACTTGGTGTCGTCTTCCCAAGAAGCGTCTGTGTGCCCAGTAAGGACCACAGGCCTGCGTCCTCCCAGCACTAACCCCATGCCCGATGTACTTGCGAGATAACGCAAAACCCTCTTAGCGGCAGACCAGTGCTGAGGTCAGTGTCTGCATGTGGCCACAAAGCGAGCCAGGATGCTGAGAGGGTACGCGAGATCTGGACGGGTGCAAGTCATCAGGTACATGAGGAAACCCACTAGCTCTGCGTAAGGACCACTAGGCTCTGCTGACTCCTCAGGAACTGGAGCAGAGAGCTTATGATCTACTGGAAGAGGTGTGGGTTGTGCGGAGGAGAACTGAAGATCGAACCTCTGAAGGATCTGGCGCACAAAGTGTGACTGGGTAAGGGTGATGGTGTGCGCTGCTCTGTCCCTGGAGATCTACAGGCCAAGATAGTGGCGCAGTTCTCCTAGGTCAGTGCAGGTGTGTCTCTTCAGCAGCTCTGTCTTCACGAAGGCCAGCGCGTTAGTGTCTGCAGTGGCAAAGGCCAGGTCATCTACGTAAACGAGGATGTAGAACGGGGTCTGGCCAGCACGAACAAAGAGCGAGGGGTCCGCAGAGGACGGAAAGAACTGCAGGTCAGCAAGGGTAGCACGCAGCGTGTCGTGCCAGTTACGGGGAGTCTGCCGCAGGCCGTAGACGGGGCGCCGAAGGAGCCACTGGGTCCCAAGAGGGAAGGTACCAGTGAAGCCCTGAGGGCGGCGCAGGTAGACATGCTCGTGTAGACTGCCCTGAAGAAAGGCAGTGGAGAAGTCGAGGGAGTGAAGCTCGTAGTCACGCTGAGCTGCTACGTGTAGCAGCATCCGAAGAGTAGTCATCTTCGGGGTCGGAGCGAAGGTCTGAAAGAAGTCCACCCCCTCACGTTGACTGAAACCTTTGGCCACGTAGCGCGCCTTGAACACAGGCGGCTCTCCAGGGGGGCGCTTCACCTTGAAGAGCCAGCGGCCATCGACTACGTTCACCCCATGTGGGGGAACTGCGTCGACGTAGTTGCCGGTGGATCTCCAAGATGCCATCTCCTGCTCCATGGCAGCTATCCACTAGGAGGCCCAAGGTCCCGAGACCGCCTCAGCGTAAGTACGAGGGGTCGGGATGACGAAAGCGTCTGGGTCACCCTCAGGGACT